TTTTTTTTAAAAGCTGGATAACTAAGTTGAAAAAAGAGGAAGATATACCACAATTTAGTCGATTTCCTCGGATTCTTCTTGCGAAAGAATAGTGCTCAAGCGCATGAGTGCAATTAGGATCAAGCAGTGGATTATTTTCTATACGAACAGCATTATTAATGGTAAGCAGCGCTCCTTCTGCCATTGTTTCGAGCTGAGAATTGTTCATGATGACAAGATCATAACCTTCAAGCAAGAAATGGTGATCCGGAGATGTGATTTTGAAATTGGAACTCTCAGCAAAGAAAAAACCGACCAAAACGGTCTTCATGGGTGTAGAATAACCCAAATAAAGAAACAAAGAAGCTAATATTTGTAAATGCGGTATTCATTATCTCAACAGTACCAGACATTGTTTCTATACGACCTAGAGCTCCGAACAATTCTTCATGTAATACATCTGTGGTTTCATCTAAACCGGATAGATAAGTATGACCAACCCATGTTCTTATAGAAAGTTTTACCTATACGAATTGAACCCTCGACTTTAAAGCAGTAATCATCCCCTGTAGGAAATTGAGAAATAGTAGTGGAGTTGATAATGTAGTTGTTGAACACACATGCTTGTCCTGGAATATTTAGACCTTTGCTTGTTCATTCGATTCATAGCAAGATTAATTTTTCAACTTACCAGCTGCCTCTCCATAATGAACTGGTAGCTGACCTCGCACCTCTCCGAATAAATATACTATAAAAAACGCAGCCATATTCCATTTAGCTGTCCATTAAGGAAAGAATATATTTTGCTGGGAAGGAATATGCATTTGCACAAATGATCTACGTAAGAAAGTAAAGTGGTCCAAAAACTAGAAATAACTTACTCAATCCGTTCACAAACAAATTGAGACCAAAGGTGGAACGCATTCTAAGTGTCGCGCCAGCTTCGTCAAGGTTCCGTAATGGCTATTTAGTGCCATATAATTAAGTGCTAAATCATAGTACGAGATAGCAAAAGGTAAAGGTACAAGACTGCGAAGCTGTCTTGATAACTGAATCATTTACTTCACAGCAGGTGCCGATGTAGAAGATTCACCCAACAACTGTAGTGCGTTGAAGGCAGTTTGCAAGGAGCTTTAACTCTGACTAGTTGTTGTGTCATGGTTTATGCCGTAAAGGATCTAACCAGCAACTGACAGAGTTTTACTTTCAAAGAAAAACCTCTTTAAACAAGCGAAACCTGAGATCTACTCAGCCATTTAACACGTCTTTGAAAGCCAAAATCGAACGGAATTTGGTCTCAGAAACATATCAAGTTTTTGAGATCAAGTGGTTTGACATATTGTTTGGATAAATACAAAAATCCATAAGCCAAGAAAATTATTTCTCAAATTATCTTCACACCTATCTACACCTTCTTCCTTTATTCACGAAGCTGTACGATATATCACGCTTGTGGCTATATAACAGCTCTTAAAGCTTTTTGACCAACTTTCAACACTGCATGAGTTCAATTCGCAAACTTACTTGATAATTTTGACATTAATTCTTGAAAATAATCAATAACTGCTGCTATTGTTACCATTTTGGGGATAAATACTACTGCTTTGGCGTTGTAATGCAAGGAACTTCAGGTTCAGACGCACTTTTATGCGAAAAAACAGAATGATCTCATGTTATACAGCAATTAAAAGAAAGTAAAGATAAAATTCCGGTTTTAGACAAAGTAGAGCATGGAATTAGGACCGATCGATACTGGCGGCGTCATCAATAAATGTTTGGGTAGAAGTCGTGATCATTGTGATCTACAATAGTTGATCTCCTGTCGGCTAATGTGCAT